TATAAGTTAATTTAGATGGAACAGCCATGCCAGGATGTCTAAGGAATTTGACCCACTGAAGGGAAGGGAGCTTGGGTAAGAGCCACTCAGAAGGAAGTATGTCGTAGGTATCAGTCAGTAGAGCATAGGACTATAGTGATATTTTGTTTATGTTTTAATATTAAAGCTCACCTAAAGATCAGAAGGGCAAGGTAAGCCACTAGAGGGCAGGCAGTGGTGGCACACACCTTTAATCCCAGGATTTGGAAGACAGAGGCAGGTGGATCTCTATGAGTTCAAGGCTACCCTGAACTACACAAGATCAATGTAGAAACAAATCCAGGTAGTGGTGGCTCACACCTTTAATCCCAGTACTAGGGAGTCACATGTCTTTAATCCCAGCAGTAGAGGGAATATAAAATGAGAGGAGAAAGAAGTTTAGTCTTTTTAGTCTGTGGTTGCCCAGTCCTGGTAGAGGAAAGACTTCTCCAGTGACTTGGCTGCTTTACTTTTCTGGTTTTCTTTTCTTTCTTTCTTCTTTTTTTTTTAAGATTTTATTTATTATGTATACAGTGTTCTGTCTGCATGTACACCTGTAGGTCAGAAGAGGGCACCAGATCTCATAGATGGTTGTGAGCCACTATGTGGTTGCTGGGTCTTGAACTCAGGACCTCTGGAAGAGCAGACACTGCTCTTAAACTCTGAGCCATCTCTCCAGCCCTGTTTTTCTGGTTTTCTGATTGAACCCCAATATCTGTCTCTGGGTTTTTATTATTTGTGCTACATTGGACTCTTAATCCCAGGGTCATGGGTTCGTGCTCCATGTTGGGTGCCAAACGTAGAAGCAGTAATCATTGGGACATCCAATAGGCAAATAATGACACAGAGACTTATTATTAATTATAAAAACTTGGCCTTTATCTTAGGCTTGTTTCCAATTAGTTTAGGATTTAAATTAACCTGTTTCAGTTAATCTACTTTCGGCCACATGGCTTTTACCTTTTCTCAGTACAGCAAGTTCGACTCCTCCAAGTCTGCTGGCAAAAATCCCTTTCTTCCCAGCATTCTCTGTCTCTCCAGAAGTCCCGCCTATTCTCTCCTGCCTAGCTATTGGCCATTCAGTTTTCTATTAAACCAATCACAGAGACACGTCTTCATAGTGTACAAAAAGACTATACCACAACACCTGGCACTTGCCCTTTTCTGGAGAAAATTTACTATGAGCTAGGCATGGAGGCAGAGTCTGTCATCTCAAAACTTGGAAGGTGGAGACAGGAGTTCAAGAGGAGCATTGGTTACATAGCGAGTTCAAGGCCAGCCTGAGCTACCTGAGACTTTGTCTCAAATAGAAGAGGAGAGAAGGAGTGGGGAGAGATGAGAGTGAAGAGGGGAAGTCAGGAGGCATGGGGTGGGGCATGGGGGCTTGAGCATATTCGAGGCGTGTAACAAAATAGCAAGGCAGGCCCTGGAGAACTGGAGCCAGTAGGAGGCAAGGCCTATTGGGCTGGAGCCCATGAGGGTTTAATCTGACAAGCTTCATACATACGTACCTGTAACCTCAGCCCAGGGGTAGCAGAGACAAGGATTGCTGGGGTTGCTGGCCAGCGACTGAGCTCCACCTTCAACGAGAGACCCTGTCTGAAGGGAACAGGGCCGAAAGCAATAGAGGATGCTGAGTGTCCTCTAGCCTCGCTATCCTGCTATCTACACACACAGACACACACAGACATACACACACAGACACATACTCAGACACACAAATAGACACAGACACACGCACAGACACACACATAGAGACACACACTGACATACACGCACAGACACATAAAAAGAGACACACACAGAAACACATGCACAGACACACACATAGACACAGACACACACATAGACACACACGCAAAGACACACATACACAGACACACACACACACCACAACAAAATATCAGGAGGGCTGGAGAGATGGCTTAGTTGATAGGATGCTTGTGTAGCACACACAAAATAACCCTGGGTTCCATCCCCACCACAGACAGGAAGATCAGGAATTCAAAGGCACCCTCTCCTCACTCAGAAAGGTTGAAGGTAACCTGGGCTACATGAGACCTTGTCTTTAAAAAAAAGAAAAGAAAAGAAAACAACTTCCTATCTGAAGAAGACCAACAAAAGTTGTGAATTTACCCAAATATTTGCCTGGAGATACGAGAAAATTCTTCCCCTGAATATATTTTTAGGACAGTGGATGACAAATAGAGTTGCATTCGGTTCACATTCAGACAAATTGGTATTATTATTATTAATAATCTTGGGCCAGGAAAGAAGTCTTCTGACGCAGGAGCTGATCAGGCATGAGTCATCACGCCCCGCTGACAAGTCCTTCTGCTTCTCAGTCCCGGATGCAGGCAAACAGGTGAAGGCAAAGTGAAAGGATGCTGTGGCCACAGGATTCAGAAGACATCAGATCTTACCCCCCGCATCTTATCTGTGCCATTAACCCTACTTTGGTCTCCACCCTTATTTTAAGCCCTTAAATCTTTTAATATAATATTTTATATTAATTTTGGGGGAGGAAATTTTATACATGAATACAAAGTATTTCAATTACATTGACTTCTCACTCTCCCCATCCCCTCTGAACTGCTCTCTCTCTCTCTCTCTCTCTCTCTCTCTCTCTCTCACACACACACACACACACACACACACACACTTTTATAGCTCACTGACTCCGTTTTGCGGTGCCCATACACTCATGGGTATGCATGGATCCACTAGAATAGGTCTACTTGCCAGGGCTGGTACCCTTAAAGAAAACTGCCCCTCCCTTCTCCAGAAGCCTCTGTCAACAGCAGCTCAGGTAGGGAGGGGTCTTGTGTGCCCCTCCCCTTCCACTGCAGTTGGTGTGAGTTCGTGGGTGGTGTGTCCTGTCATGTCCAGAAGCCACTCTGCCTGCACTGACCTCCAACTCCTACAGTCTTCCTGCTCCCCTTTTCCCAGATGGTCCCTGCACCTTGACAGTGACCCTCCGGGGCTGAGCAGTGCACTGACCTGGTCTCTGCGCTTTATTTAGTTACATTTCTCCCTTCACCATTGCCTGTTACACAAGGGAGCTTTCTGAGAAAGTCTGGGAGCCGCAGGAATCTGTGGGTAATGGAGATACATGGATTTAGTGAACCCTCTGATGGTCTGTCCATTTAACAATGGGATAGTAGCAGGCTCGCCCTTCGCCCCTACGAGCTCCCCCAGACTATTGGTTCCTGGCCAGATTTACTGGTACGAGGCATGTGTTTCCTTCTTTTTGTTTTCAGTCTCTGTGTGGGAGTGTTTGTGTGAATGCTGGTGTACACTCAGACGTCAGTACCGACTGTCCACCTTGAGACAGGGTCTCTGGTTTGCCGTTGCATATGTCAGGTTAGCTGGCCTATGAACTTTTGGGGAGTTGACTGTCTCCTCCCCCCATCTCACTGTAGGAGCCATGACTTTCCTGCCTCAGTCTTCCAGGTGCTGGGGACAAAGGCGTGAACACCAGGACAGATCCCAAGCTGAGCTTTTGCTCATGGTATTCCAGTACCTACCCTCACTTCTCCTACTTCCAAAATTCTGCTCACCCTTCAAAGCTAACCTTCCACACAGCTCTGCACTGTAGCCTGCCAGTTCTCCAACTCCTCCCCGTTCCCCCACTTCACCAAAAAAAAGATTTCTCTGTGTACCGCTGGCTGTCCTGGAACTCACTCTGTAGACCAGGCTGGCCTCAAACTCACAGAGATCCACCTGTCTCTGTATCCTGAGTGCTAGAATTAAAAGCGTGCACCACCACTGAGTACCTGGCAGTTCTTGACTAAACTGTTGGCCTCATTTACAGAAAGAGCAAAATTCTCAGCAAGGATTACAGCCTCTCAGTAACACTCAACTCCAATTCCAACACTTGGGGCGTGGAGACAAAAGGAGCAGGGATTCAAGGCCCACCTCTGCTATAGGATACATTCAAAGCCAGCTTGAGCCACAGGAGACTCGGTCTCAAAAAAGGGGTGGTGGTAGTCACGGCTTTAATCTCAGCACTTGAGAGACCTGCTTGTCTTCACAGTGAGTTCCAGGTCAGCCAGGGACTCTGGCTCCAAATTGGGAGGTGGGGTGGAGCTTGATGCTTGCTAGGGTGGGGGTGAGACATTCTCTGCCACAGCAGAGCCACTGGAGAGGTGCTCACACGCCTGTAAACAACACCAATGAAACTCACTGGGTCCCCAAACCCTGCAAACAAACAAAAAAAGACATGGAAGCAGAAGACAGACCAGTTGGAAAGAGGAAAGTAGGGGAACAAGAGAGGGTCTTGGGTATAAGTAAGGTCAAATCAATTATATACATGTATGAAAATGTCATACTCAAACCTGATAGATGCTGGATGTGGTGGCACATGCCTTTAATCCCAGCACCCAGGAAGCAGAGGCAGGCGGATCTCTTATATCAGCTTGGTCTATGGAGAGCAAGTTCCAGGACAGTCATGGCTACACAGAGAAACCCTGTCTCAAAAAATAAAAATGAAACAGAACAAACAAACAAAAACCGCAATAGTTAAGAGTTTTAGATTTACTTATTTTATTTCATGTGAATGACTATTTGCCTACATGAACGTGTGTGTACCATGCGCTTGCCTGGTGCCTGTGGCATTCAGAAGGCTCCCTTGGAACTAGAGTTGTGGGTGGTTGTGAGCCTCCAACCTGGATCCTCTGCAAGAGCAACAAGTGCTCTTAGCTATTGCGCCATCGCTCCAGGCCCACGAGATCCCTATTATGTTAATAAAAACTTAAGCAGCTAGAGTAATGACGTATCCAAGATCAAAAAACAGCCAGAACTCACTGGGAAAAGATTCGGGTTCGGGAGGGACCCAGAACGGGGGCAGGACACACTCTGTAGCCTCTCGGGATGGGGGTGACCATGTCTGGACATGCTCACCTGCAGAATTAGCAGTTATGAAGGAGCTTCGGAGTCGGGCACGGTGGACCTCTCCAGGAACAGGGTTCAGAGTGTCAGGTCTAAAGGAAGGTGAGGTGCGTGGAAGCAAGGACACCACAGGCCTCCTTGTGGTCTGCAAACAATCGCTTCAGAGCCTTCATGTAGAGCCGGTGATAAGGATCCACTTGGTCTTCGGTGGGCTTGAGGGACTGGGGCACAGGGATGGGGCGGCCCACTGCAGGGAGGGGAGATGTGGGTGGCAGGGCTCTCTTGCTGCAAATGAAACTGACAGCATCTCCCCTCCCCAGGGATTCCCCACTCACCCACAGTAGTGATGGGCTGGGCAAATGGTACCAGACCCCAGAGGTTGGCCGAGAAGAGACTACGGCCCCAGAAGATGCAGGGGGAAAATCCCATGAGTCTCTTGAAGGCAATTTGGCATCGATGCTGCCAGGAGTTTTGGTCAAAAGACTTGATTCTGTAGATATCATTCTCCCCAAAGGAATACACAGGCACGAGGGAGGCCCTGGGAGGGTGGCGAAAGGGAAGAAGGGCTTCCTGCGGTTAGTATGTGTGTCTCCTCGTGCCTAAGTCTCCCAGGGTGCTGGGATTTGAGGCCTATCTCACCACACCTGGCTCCAAGGCATCACCTTGAGATGGGCTGAAGGCCTGGTGATACTGCCCAGACAGTGAAGTGCTGGCCGCAGAATGGTGAAGACCTGAGCTTGACTCCCAGAATCTGGGTTTTAAAATCCAGATGCACAGGATGGGGCTGGAGAGACCTGCATTTGAGTCTCGGCACCCACATGGTATCTTACAACTGTCTCTAACTCCAACTGCAGGGGATCCAATACCCTTTTCTGGCCTCCTTGGGCACTGCACACACATAGCATATAAACATGCATGCAGGCAAACACGCATGCACATAAAAATTAAAGACAAGAATACTTGCTGCTATGACAGAAGACCAGGGTTGGGTTTCCAGTCCCTTTGCTGAGCAGCTCACAGATAGCTGCCTGTAACTCTAGACAGGGGACCTGGTGCGTTCTTATGGCCTTGTGTGCGTGCCTCTGTGTGTGTGTGTGTGTGTGTGTGTGGTGTGTATGCAATATAGATATATCTATATCTTTCAGGTAGAACACTCACCTAGCATGCATGAAGCCCTGGGCTCTAACCCCAGCATTGCATAAACCTGACGTGATGGTGCACACTTATTGTAATCCCAGTACTCAAGAGGTGGAGGCAGGAGGATCCGAAGTTCCAAGTCATTCTTGGCGACACAGGGAGTTCAAGGACAGCCTGGGTTACTTGAGACCTTGGTGTGGGAGATCCTTCTGTATATGTGTTGCTTTTATCAATTAATGAATAAAAAAGCTGCTTTTGGCCAATGGCTTAACGTAATATAGCCAGGCTAGAAGAGATATATATATAGAGAGAGAGTAGGCAGAGTCAAGGAGATGCCATGGAGCCACCAGAGGAGAAAGACGCAAGCTATAGGTTGGAACCTTGCCGGTAGGCCACAAGCCTCGTGGTAAAATATAAAATAATAGAAATGGGTTAATTTAAGAGGTAAGAGTGAACTAGAAATATACATAAGCTAATAGGCCAAGCAGTGTTGCAATTAATACAGTTTCTGTGTGGTTATTTCGGGAGTCTGGGCAGCCGGGAACAAACAAGCAGCTTCCACTCAGCAAGACCCTGTTACAAAGCACACCTAACCTGAGAAGAACCTGTAGCCCTGCTCACCCTTGCCTTAGCCCCAGGTGCACAAAGCCTTTCCGTGTCCTCAGTGTGATGCAGTGCTCCCCTGGAACAGCGTACAGGGCTTCCTGGGCACTCCCAATCAGGATGGTCACTGCCTGGCCAAGCTGGGGCTGTGACAGAATGAAGTCCAGACTCTGTCGACTCACAGGACACAGCCCTGCGGACAGAAGTGGGCCACTGTCACCACCCTCTCCCCAGTTCCCTAGCCCTCCCACCTCCACTCAGCAGTACCTGAGAGTTCTGAGTCCTGCGTCCCCTGCATCCTGTACACCACACTTGGGATTCCCCTCTGAGTAGGACCAAGCCAGTCCTCTTAACCAAGCAAGGATCTTGTTAGAGGAGATACCCTATAATCCATGGGCACTTCCGCCTTTCATCTCTGTTACTGTGTTTTTCTATAATCCAATGCAACTGAGGGGAGGAAAGGGTTTGTTTCAGCTTCTAGGTTACAGCCCATCATTGTGGGAAGTCCGTGCAGGAACCCAAGGAGGAACTTGAAGCAAAACCCGCGGAGGAACGCTCCTCACAGGCTCCCTTGCAGACTCATGGCTTAGCTAACTTTCTTATGCAGGCCCAGGGAATGGTGCTGCCCACTGTGGACTGGGTCTTCCCATCAACTAATAATCAAGACAGTGCCTCACAGACATAGCCACAGACCAAGCTGATCCGGGAAATCCCTCAACTGAAAGTCCTTCTCAAATGGCTGCAGGCTGTGTCAAGCCGACACAAGGCTAGGAAGGCTCACCATTGAACATGAGGTAGTCTACATGAGATAGAAGAGTCCAGCAGTGTGGCCACCCAAGGCCTAAGCCCGAAAAGGAGCTAGGAGAAGGCGTTGCTGTCCGTGGAGAAATTACAGAAGATTCCTGTGCTCATGATCCCATGGGGGTGGGCACCCAGCACGTAATTCCGGTCAGCCGGCAGCTCTGAGTTTTCAGTAGCTTTGAGGTATTTGGGGAGATACACAGAGGAAGAGGCACAGAATGCAAGGTGAGGGCCCGACAACCTGAGCTCAATCCCTGGGACCCACGTGATGGGAAACCTGATTGACTGCTACCGGCACGCGGTGGCCTGCACAAGCCCCTTCCCCACCCTCCAAATAAGCACAATGTAAGCTTTTTTTTTTTTAATTTAAAAAGTAAGTAAAAATAAAAAATAAAAAAGAATACAAAGTAACTGCTGGGAAAAACTGCCCTTTACCCCACTGGAGTTCAAAGTTCAAGGTCCTAAGATGGGACTAAGGGCAGAGGGGTCACTCTCACGTATCACCCCATCCCCCAGCTCAGACGTCCAGCACAGGCTCCAGCAGGCAGGAAGGTGAGTAGGCCTTAGAGAGGAAGGAGACCAACTGTCTTTCGAGGGAAATGATCTCTCTGGTGTTTCCAGATTGTCCACTTTCTCATCCACCTGCTGTTCCTTCCACCTGCACACAGAGAGATGGGGCTGGGATGAAAGAATTTCCCGGGGTGGGGGTGGGGGAACAGTCTCTTCTGGACTGGGGCAGGTGGCATAAGGGTTGCGCACGTGCCAAGCAAGCAACGCGACCAGAGTTCAGATCTCTGGAACTCATGGAACTGCCAGGTGGGCACGGAAGTCACTGCAATTCCAGTCTCAGAAGCAAAAGACAGCCACATATCAGTGTGCTCTGGGTTTGATTGAGAGACCCTGCTTCAGTGAACAAGGCAGAAGGGTGATGGAATCAACCTCTGGTTCCCACCAGCAGAACCTATGCACACTTAAAAAACAAAAACAACATGCACACACACGAACAGTGGAAACACACATCTCATGACCGGAGACCTCTGCCCCAGACTTACCTTGGATGGGTGTGTTCCAGTCCAGGTACAGCCACTCGAAATAGAGAACAGAGAAGGACCAGAGCCGGGTAAAATGGAGAAAGAAGACCAGAAGGGTGCAGGAAAGGCCTGGGTGAAAAGGAAAGAAGACTGGGCTTCTGTCTGTCATGCAGTCAGTCAAAACAACCTGCCCCCCCCCCCCCTCCCGCTGAGCAGCCCTGTGGTCTCCTCTGGCCCTTTCCTGGTGCCTGGAGCCCACAATGGTAACAGCCCAGACATATGGCCACCAATGTCCTTTACCTAGTTCCCTTGTCTCTGGGCCCCCATGTCCCCCCTCCCCCGCCAGTCACACTTACCCATGAAGAGAAAAGTGACCACATATTGGTAGGTGCCTATCACTTCAAGCCTTTGCTTTTGAGGTGTTTTCATGGTGAGAGGAGAAGGGATATGGGGATAGCAGTCCTAGTGACTCTGTGTCACCAGGACTCCAGGACCCAGGAAACAGAGGGTGAAGGTTTGGGGGTGTGATCTCACAGGGAGCAGATCACCTCTGAAGTGATCAGATGTTGGACCTGGAGCCCCAGAACTTTCTAGGCTCCTTCTTGGACTGACTTTTGAACTTCCTTGGTCAATGAGTCTGGGCAGGTTACTTGGAGGAGCTCGGAGTGGGGAAAGAGAGGTAGAAAAGGGACAGCCTTCGCCTCCCTGGTGACTGAGGCATTGAGGTAGGGAGTAGGCAAGAAGCAGGTACCCACTGGCCCGCAGGACCCGGACAATGGGGGGATCGGAGACTCTGATCTCCGACATACAGGCAAGGCAGGGCAGGAGAACCCAGACACACAGGCAGGCAGGCACTGACGATGTAATCTGTTTGCAGGTCTCTGGGAGTGGTCAAGGCTACACCAGTATCAGAGGGGACAATGGTTCCCCCTGCCCCGAGGCTTCTCTTCCCTCCCCTGAACTTGTACAAACACACACATGCTTCTTGTCTATTCTCACATTTAATTTCGTTTCCCACGCATCCTCATCCCCTCTCCCATCCCCTGCAGTCACTCAGGAAGGCCAGGACACTGGGACATGGAGGAGCCTAGGTAAGAACAAGGTGTTGATCAGCAGGGACCCCAAATCGTGTCTTGTGTTCCTCAAACAGCTGTGTGAGACGCTCTACATACTACGTGTGCAGCTGGTCCATCTGTTCCCGGCTGGGCCTCCCGCTTCGCTAGACTGGAATCGGGGCGCCCACTGAGGACGGAACGGGAGAGGAGAAGATTGACTGTTGAGGTGTCTCTAAATCTCCCACTAACTGGGGATCAGGCTAGAAAGCTTGGGGAATACATGCCAGACTCGTGGACCAGAGAGCTAGCACATCAGGCTTTAAGGGAGATGATGGGAAAGATACATGGCTCACCCACAGTGTGGATGGGCTCGCGGAAGGGTAGCAGGAGACCCAGGCGACCATGAAAGAGAGGACACGCTCAGCATCGCCTGAAGAGCTTCCTGTACCCTCCTCACCCAGGAGCCTGGAGGGTTAGGATATTGCTGGAAGAGCTCCTTCTCTCCAAAGGAGAAGACAGGCACAAGCGAAGCCCTGGAGGTGCAGGAAGAGACCCGCCCGCGGGCGGACAGGGGCCTGAAGGTACCGGGCGCCTCATTCCTCCTCTCTAACAGAGCAGCTCCCGTAGATATACCTTGCCGCCGCCCGCCCACTCCTCACCCGTGTTCCAGTGATAATTTAATGAATCTTTTCTGATTCCGGCGCTGCAAACTCACTGTTCCTGGCTTTGCCTCCAGGGGACCTCCCACAGCCAGGAAGGCCATCTGGCCACCCTCGGGGTGGGTCAAGAGATAGGGAGCGCTAGCCTTGTCAGAAGAGACTAAACCTGGGTGGGGAGGACAAAGGCTGGGTCTCGTGGATACCACCAAGATAGAGGTGAACACAGGCGCCCGCACCCCCTCCCCCAGCCCAGGATAAGAAAGGTTAGGTAACATCCAGCGCCCGGGGATCTCGAGAAGGGGCTTCCTTACCGCTGGTCATGATGTAATCTCGGAAGAGAGGCACTTGGAACCAACATGGCAGTATGAGAAGGTGTGGCTTGAGACCCGAAAAGAGGCGAGAGAAGCCTGTGGCCTCTGTACAGAAGTTGCCGAAGGCCCCAACAACCAGGACCCCGTGAGGATGGAAACCAAAAAGGTAGTTTCGGGATGGACCCAACTCGGCCGTTTTGACCAGCTGGAGAACAAAGGGTATGGATGTTTCCCATTTCCCAGTGAGGAACAGCATCGGAAGTGGGGAAAGAGGGGTGGCCACATTTGTCTCTTTTGAAACCCCACCCATCCATCAAGCCAGCACACTTTCTGGGACCCTCACCGTGATGGGGAAGCAGTCTGGGAAATACCTCCAGATTGCCCAGTTCCAGACCCAGGCAGAGCGGCGGACCCCCATCCTGGGTGTGTATCTGTCTCTGTAGAGCCAGGTCAGGTAGAGGACCGCGAGGGTCCAGGCCCGGCCTAGGGAGGCTAGGACCAAAGCCACCGGGCACAGCAGGGCTGCAGGACCAGATAGCAAAGCATGCTAAGAACCCGAGTGTTAGAGCCAGCAAGATGGCTGAGATGGTAAAATTGCTTGCTGTCAAGTCTGGTGACCTAAGTTCGATCCCCGGGTCCCATATAATGAAATCACAGACCCGATTACTTCAAGCTGCCCTCTGCTCTGCACAGATTTGCTATGGCATGAACATGCCTCCCCACAAATAAATACACATAATAACAAAATTTTTTTTATAAAAAAAAGACCCCAGATGTTTAAGCCCTTCTCTCCCCACTGGCCCACCCTCCCAGTCCTACAGTATTCAAGCCCCATACTCCTGCTAGGACCCCAGAAATTCCTACTCTGTCTCCTTGGGATCATAGGGGAAGAAAAGCACCAATAACCAGGTTTGTCTGATTCCGGGGGTTTTGGAGACTCACCAAGTCCCAGGAACGAAAAGACCTACTGAAGCCCAGCAAACACTTGAAGACTCCGATGCAGGGGACTGGACGAGACCTCCATACTTTAGAAGGGAATGGCACAGGGGCAACCCACAGATTAAGTACACCCCCCCTCTTGACTCAATCCTCTGACTTTGACTCCCGAGCCTGGGCCCACTCCCATTCCTACCCCCTTGCTCTGACCCACACATTGAGCCACGTGGCCAGTGAACTGTGAACAGGGGCAAAGCAAAGCTATCTCTCCCCGAGCTTTCAGGAATGACCAATAGTATGAAATGGAAATTACGCAGGAGCCTAGAGCAAGGTGTTTGAACTCCAGAGCGGTTAGGGCCTCTGGTCTCCACTAATAGGCTGAAGTAGAGATCTGACATGTACTGTGTAAGGCCCCATGGGCCGTTACAAGAACAGGTTTGAAAATCCCATAGTCAGTGCCCGGATCTAATTAAGGTCAAATTCCCTAGGCTGTAAGCATCAAGAGGCAGCTGTGGGGCCTGCTGACGGTTCTAGTGCCCCGCTGTTGGGGTACGCTGTCTTCAGGCACAGGAGCTCGACCTTCCTGAAATCATCTGGGACAGCACACACAGGCCCTACACATAATTTGGCTGAATAACTGTCATTCACAGAAAGGGGAGGGTACAGAGAATCTGGAGCAATGGCTGGGCAGTTAAGAGCACTGACTGCACCCGGTCAGGGTGGCACACCTTTAATCCCAGCACTCGGGAGGTAGAAGCAGATGGATTCCCATGCGCTTGAGGCCAGCCTGGTTGACAGAGCGAGTTCCAGGACAGCCAGGGCTACACAGAGAAACCCTGTAGAAAACTTACTGCTCTTGCCAAGGACCTAAGTTCGGTTCCCACACCCTTGTTAGCTGTCTCACAACCACCTGTAACCGAAGCTCCAGGGGACCTGATGCCCTTTCCTGGCCTCCACAGGCACCTGCATGCCCCTGGACACACGTGTACACACACATGAACACAAATCCAAATAAAAAAAATAAATATTTTACAGGAAGATTTTTTTTAATTTGTTTATTTTAAATCATGTGTATGTGTGTTCGGGGTGGGAGGGTGAAAGCAGGAGCCTTGGAGGCCAGAGGCATCAGGTTCTCTGGAGTGGAAGTTACAGGTGGTTGTTGATAAGATTTTCGGATCCCCAGTAGTAGGTTTCTCCATCAATACAGTAAACCAGATCAATCCAAATTCATAAGACCAGGTTTAATCTGAGCAAAGCATTCCCAGGTGACTCTCAGGAAAGGGAGGAGAGAAATCACAGGGCAGGTCTATGGGCGGAGCTTAAATATCCTGTAGGCGTGGTCTTGAGGAAATCCAGGGGAGGAGCCACCGCTTGCCAGGCTTTCTGATGGGTTTGGAGAGGGAAGGGGGCACTGAGGTGGATCTTCCAGCGGAACAGTTGAGCTGTCTGACCTGGGTGCTAGGAACCAAACTCAGGTTCTCTGGGAGAGCAATATGTTATCTTGATGGCTGAGCCATCCCTCCAGTCCCCAAATAAATCTTTTTAAAAGGCGTTGTGGGAGGGCTAGGGAGATAACTCAGTCAGCAAAGAACTTGTCTTCTTGAGTTTGCCCCCCAAGAACTCAACCACGTCAAGAAGCTAGGCATGAGCCCAGCGGTGGTGGAGCACGCCTTTAATCACAGCACCCTGGAGGCAGGCAGATCTCTGTGTGTTCGAGACCAGCCTGGTCTACAGAGCTAGGACAGACAAGGCTACACAAAGAAACCCTGTTTCAAGGGGCTGGAGAGATGGCTCAGAGGTTAAGAGCATTGCCTGCTCTTCCAAAGGTCCTGAGTTCAATTCCCAGCAACCACATGGTGGCTCACAACCATCTGTAATGGGGTCTGGTGCCCTCTTCTGGCCTGCAGGCATACACACAGACAGAATATTGTATACATAAGAAATAAATTTTTTTTTAAAAAAGAAAGAAACCCTGTCTCAAAACACGAAACTGGGCATGGACGCTTACTGTAATCCCAGCACTGGAGAGGTGGGGACAGGTGACTCAGGTAATTACTGAGTTCCAGGCCAATGAGAGACTCTGTCTAAAATCAAGGTGGATGGCAAAACGGATTGACACCTGACGTTGACCTCTGACCTCCACCCCATGCCCACCTCGACACGTGGGGTCGTTATCAGACTTTCACCAGTCTTTCTGGCCTCTCCCCCCTCTGACTCAGTTCCTGTCCCAGCTCACGCAGTCTCGCAGTCTCGAGAGAGGTGCAACAGTAGACTTGGGAGGTGGGAGATTAGCTCAGCAGGCAGTTCACGGAAAGCTTTCGTGGGTCACTGGCTCACCAAACCAGACTTGGATGGGGTAATCTCTTTGGTCTTTTGTTGCCCACTTCCTCCAGCACTGTCCCCTCCCTTTTTAGGATACTATTTCATAAAGCCCAGGCTGGCATGAAACTCATTTATGTAGCCAAGAA